AATAATTAACAATGAATTCTTAACAAATTCTAACCGATATGAAAAAATAGCCACTTTATTTTTAATTTTCGAAGCTTTTAAAATAAATAATCGATACCTGATATGAACATAAAATAAATACACCATCTTTTAACATTTACTCAAACCATAATGAATTTTGCTACCCCATTTTTCGGTCAATAAAATTTAAATATTAACATTCGCAAGAAAAAAAATTTTTTATTTCTTGTTGCTGTAAAGCAACTTTCGCTAATGATTGATTTTGTTGCTGTTACAACAAAAGATTAAAATTAGTACAATCATTAAAATGAGAAGCCGACGCAGCCGAAGTTTCGGGTAGAAAAATTTTTAAGGTGTTTTGGTGCATAACGTAGATCACGAAAAATAGAAAAAGAGCATGCTCAAGCATTTAATTCTAAAAATATTCATTAATCGTGGTTATTCTGTTCATAATTTAATTAATTGATTGAGGTGCTTGAGAACACTCTTAGTCAATTAAGAAAATTGATTTAGCACGGGCTTATAAATTACTGTAATTTTATGTAATTTGTATAGTTTCTGTAAATTAAAATGGTAAACTAAAATTTCATGTAATTGTAAACTTTGAACACGATAATTTTACATAAGCGCCAGATGGTGAACCGTCTAAAAAATCCTGATCCGGGTCAACCGTCGGTTGAACAATAACGATAAGCCACCGCTTGAGAATCGGTTGGTTAAAAGTCGGGTCAACTTTTTTTCGTAATACATTTGATGAATTTGCTTTGGCAGAAAAATCGGCTAATAGACGATATAAAGTCTTAATTGCATGTGAAGATTTTAATTTTATATACAAGCTTTTTTTTTTTTTTACAAGATCAGAAAAATTCAATAACGGACGTTATTTGGCGAAAAATATATTGGCTATAAATGACCTTGAAACACTACCAAACCCTATGATATAACCTATTTAGTTTGACCACAACCTACTTATGTTCGTTGGGCTCTGACAAGTTTTCTGAATTGAATAACATTCTTTCAACGCTTATTAAGAAAAAAAAAAAAGTGAAATTGCTTTGTGATACGTAGTAGTTAGTATCCATAAATGTAAACAATTTAATGCAATTATTTTAATTTATAATAAACTTTATATATATTAGAATGACTTAAATATACTCGATAAAAGAATTTAGAATCAGCTTAATTTTACATTACATTCTGACGTACAATATATACATAGCAAATAAGAAAAGAAACTGTTAGCGATTGTATACAAATGGACCTTTGATTCGCTGGTTGATCCGCCGGTTGACCTGTCGGTTGACCCACTAACCTCCAACTGGTTGGTTATAATTTTCCTGGGTAATCAACCCAACCGCGGTTGATCCGGTTGATACCCAACCTGGTCTAAACATTACGTATAAGACGAAAATAATACTGGTCAAACCTTTGGTAATGCCGTTACTTTACATTATATGCGTTATCTAATTTACCGAAACTTAGATACGTACGTACGTAATATAAAAAATGTAATTTTTCACAACCTAGCATGGACACTATGTTTACGTGCCAGCACTAGCAGAACTTAAATACGCATGCAGACATTGATTTGCAAATATAATTTATAGCAAAAAATTAAGTATATATATAGAATTTATAATTAGTTTTATTTTTCAGGTTCTTATATTACTTTGTTACCTATATATATATAAACATAGTGTGCAAATTATAATTTTTTCGTACAGAAATACTCATCAAAATATGGGGAAAATTTTGTTTATCTGTCACGTTTATCTATCGCTTTGACCTTTTCTATTGCCTTCGGATGTCCTTTGATAGCTGCCAACTTCAAATAATTTAACCCTTGTTCGAAATCTTTTTTATATGTCATATTGCCTAAATTAAATAACGCATCTCTATTTCCGTTGTTAGCACCCATTGTTAAATATTTAATCAATTCTTTTCTGTCTTTTGGCCTTATTTCTTTAGCAAGTGCGTAAAACACTTGTGCTTCTAAATTACCTTCATCCGCAGCTTCTTTAAAAAGTCGAGCTGCTTGTTCATAATCTATTTCAACACCACCATAACCATAATATAAGTACTGTCCTTGCCAGTATTTCGATTTTGGACAACCGAGTTTAGCATTGGATACAAAACATTCCCAGGCTAGCTTTCTACTCTCGTCATCTCCTTTCTTGTGAAGCTTGATCCCTTCATCAAAGGGTAATATTTCTTCAAAATTAATATCTTCAAATTCTGGCGTTAATGAATCATCATCATCTTGGGAAGATGATCCATCCAAATCTAAAGTTTTGTCATCATAAACTACTGGTGGGTCACCATCTATCGCAAGTTTTTTCAATGATTCAAACAATTCCATAATGCTTGGTCGTTGGTCCGGATCTTGATGCCAGGCTTTGAAATTGTAAGCAAAAAAAGTTTTTTTTTTTCTTAATACTGTAAAAAAATCTCTCCTGATCATGAAGAATTTAACTACATACCTCCTTTAATGATATTTTCAAATTCTTTTTGGATTATTTTTTCTTGTTGGTATAGTACTGGGCCAAAAGTAATTTTTTCTCTACCACCGGCTTTCACAAGCTTTATCACATTTTCTATATCCTTATCTTTATACGGAATTTTTTCAAAGGAAAGTTCCCAAAGGAGCATCCCAAAACTAAGAAAAAATAATCATGTCAAATGCATGAAAAGAATTAAAGGAAATGTTTATATTTGGTTAATCTTTTACCTGAAAACTTCACACTTTGAAGAATATGGAACTTTACTCCGAATTTTTTCCGGAGCTAGCCAACGAACAACATCTACAATACGATTACCAATTTCCATAGATATGTTAGAAGTCACATTACGAGAGAACTCGAAATTGGCAATTTTTGGTTGATAATATTTAGTCATCTATTCAGATTACAAAATCAATAAAGATAATCAATCGTAAAAAATCTAGAAAACCTTACACACTAAAAGGAGTATGTAATACGCTTACCATAATATTTTCACATCGAATATCATGATGAAAAACCTTGACCATACCATTTAAAAACGAAATACCAAGACAAATATCGTGGGCTATATTTGCTTTTGTTTGCCATGAAAGATCTTTACTTTCATATAATTCTTTTAAATTTCCTAGTTCAGCCCATTTAAAAACCAAATTGACTTTTCCTTCGTCATGAGATACGCCATAAAATTTAAGAAAGTAATCGCAATCACCTAGCATTTCTAATATTGCTAATAGTGATTGAGCTTTTTGGTTTTTGGTCCCATCAGATCCGTAAAGATCTATAGGTTTACAAGCAACTTCAGTTTGTTGTGATATATACTTTTTCTTGACTACTTTTCCAGAGCGAACGCTGACAGTTAGATCTTGTAATAATTTCGGATCTATGCTTGTTGGTTTAAAATCTGATTTATCATCATCAGCTCGATTTATCATCTCTGCAGCAAACTGCAATTTCGTGTCGACTTTATCGTCTAATTTATCCATCCACTGGAGGAGTGATAAAGCATAAATTTAATTAGTATTAATAAAATTTTTTAAACAACGCTTTACATAAAGTACCAGTACATACATCAATTATTCTTTTAAGACCGTTATCTATTCGTTGTTGATCAATAATTCTTTGTTCCTCATTGAGAGTTAAGGTACTGAAATTCAAAACTTTCATGCGTGTATCGAATTCTTTAGACAAGATATCAAATGTTTCTTTTACGTTATTAGCGGTGCTAAACTTTTTAAAACCCCTAAGCTGAGATACTTGTTTAGCAAAATTCTTTATTTTCTCCAAAGTCTGTCTAAATTTTATCAAATTATTGCAATATTCTTTATCAAGAGAAGCATCTTTTCTTCGCAATAATTTCTTAATAGGATATTCAGCTAATTGTACTTGATCTAGTAATATACCACACATTCCTTCGTTACATTGTGCTGTCTGATATATGATACATATTTCTTCACACAATTTAAGTACAGCAGTTGCTACAGCTGCGATAGGCACGAAAGCTGAAACTGCAGTGGATACTGTTTCCGCAGTACTAATAACTTCCTTGACGCAGTCAAGTTTAGAAACATTAATTTCAATATCATTATTTTCCACCATTTTGGATATTAATATATACGTAAAAATAAATTTATAAATTTAATATATGAATGCTAAGTTGATGAAAAATGTGAACAGAGATAATTATGACGTTACGGCCGGCCTGCCGGTCTAAAGATCTAAAAGTGAAAAAAAAAAAGATAGAAATCACAACTAGATAAATTTTTTTTGTTAAAAAGAAAATGGCGGATTATATAGATATGTATCTACATATAGTAATATGAGAAAACATATAACATCACCAAAAAATTTCATTACTCTTTGTTTTAAATTAAACAACAAATTATTTTTAAACAACAAGGAAATCGTCAATGCTGTACGACACACTTTAACAAACTTGCGTCTCAAACATGTTTTAAATCTAATTTGACTTTACAATTCTAATTAACTTAATAATGCTAAGGCTGTTAACTCATTACATTGTTACGTACGTATATCTGATATTGTCTTAATGCTCTTAACGTAACACAATATTATTAATACGTATTATTCTATACCTTAATTCTGATATGGATTTTCCTTCTAAAGACTTAATGGATGGCACTTTCTTAAATTTAGACACGTTTAAAATCCTTTTTTGTTCACAATGACAATAATATCATTTTTTATCATACGTAGATTCTTGAAACAAAGATTATTTAGTCCAATTACATGAAAATATAAAAAAAATAAAGCTTAAATCGTTATGATTGCATGAACGCATATATGAACGCATATAATAAAGAAATTACGACCAAAAAAGGAAGGCTTCTTGTTTTTCTCGCACCAAGTGCATTTCACATATCCGAAATGATATTACAAAGATCAATATTACCTCAAGTTGTGTTTTATTATCGTTGTCTGTAATTCTTTGTAATACAATTTAAATGATACTATAGATAGGCATTGATGCTAATAGTCGCATTTATTCTTGAAATAACAATTATGCCATAAAGTCTAACGTTAATTAGTATTTAAGGTTAAATAATGGCATTAACTATAATACTTAATGTATTATCCCGTGTCGTTTTGCAAACAAATTTCCTGCAATTTTGTGTGTAGATGAACTGTTTCGATAGCGATAGACCCTCTACAAACTAAAGCTATTACCCGGGTCGGTTGACCCGTACGGGTCACTGTTATCATACTGTATTTCTGGAACACATAAATTTGTGATTTCGGCATGATCCGTATAATAAAAACTATTTTTAGTATCAATGATCATTATAACAATGTTATTGTTCAACATATTTGGTGTGTTTAGTTTGTATATAGCAAGAAATATAAAAAACGACAGGATATAAATTAGATACTAATAATAAACATATTACACGATTTTGTACTAATATTAAAAAAAATACTATACATATATAGAACATTACATTTTCTTTATATCCAAGTTGATTTATAGACTAAATTGCCAATTCATACAAATACCAATTAGGCTTTTCCTTTTATAAAGATATTTTATATCATTTGTGGTTTTCCTGAAAGTGATGGAAATTTTTAAATACATCCATATGGGCTAGTTCACAGCAAAAGGGGCTTAGAGACATTTTTAGCAAAGCAATTTTTACTGGATTGTGTTTTTAAATGAGTTATTTACAGTAAATTCAGAAATTTTCTAATCAGTATTAGCATAATAAAATTTGTACAATTTTGTACGCAATATTTTTTTTTATCGAGACAATTTCTCTGTTCTATATTTAGATAAGCGGAATTAATAAGAGGTAAATGTATTGGGTATCAAAGCTTACTAATGCTATATATACTGTTTATCGGGAATTTGGGTATATATTACACAATTTTACACAAAATGATTAATTATTGATATCTTTAAATAGTCTTTTTGCTGTGTATTAGCCCATATCTTTGGAAGTGCTTGAAAATCCGACTTATAGAAGATATGCTAACACCTAAGTGTTTGGCAAGTTTTCGAACTTATAAGCCTAAATTTTTTCGATTATTTACCAGCCAAGATGTCATATTTCTGTATTCAACCAGAATATATGCGCATATGTACTGTATGTACTAACATTTACATTGGTCCACCTAGTATCGCCACCAAAATCAGTTACATATATACGGAGCTTAAATTATTTGCCGACATTAAAATTGACGAATAATTGGGGCTGTCTGTCAGCTAAGTAAATCAAAACTATATATGGTATAATATAAAATTTTGCTGTAAAATTTTTTCGTGATTAAGATTTAGATGCAGGGTTCTCACAACAAAAAATTAGAATCCCAAGCTTTGAATGGATCGATAGAAGGTTTCCGCAATGCAAGTTACAGAGCCAAATTTTATATTTGTTTAAAAAAATTTTATCGGAAGCTTAAATTTCTATCCAAACAACAAATACAGTACACATAAAATAAGTTAGAAAAAAAAATTCGTTCTCCATATATAATGTAAAAAATGGCACTGTAATTTTGTTACTAGGATAGGAAAGAGTCTATTGACATCAAGATTTTCTGCAAAAAAAGAAATTTTCAACCTATGCATCTAAAAAAAGTACACAATTTTATATATTTTTATATATAAATATATTACTGATTAATCATACTAATGAAAAAAATTTCAGTAAGCTCCGACATTAGTGACCACATATAGTTTTGATTTACTTAGTTGACAGACAACCCCAATGAATAATGACGATATTGATAAATAAAATATCTTAAGAATAATAACACTTTATGTTGAAATTTTTTATTTCTTTGAAGACCGTAATATTACAAAACTTTGTTCATCTTGCCAAACTGTGCTTTTTCATTTGTAACATCAAATTTCTCTACTAATTTCTTTTTCATTCCTCTTAAGTAATTTTTAATTTGAGTTAAATATGAAGTAAGTTGTTTTATTTGGTGAATTATCTTTCGATTTTTTAAGATTCTAGTTATTGTTCTTTTAGATACTAGTTTTAAAGTAATAATAATTAATAAAAAATTAAATAATAAATTATAAAATTTATTAAAGATCTTTAAATTATTTTGAAATATTATAGAAACCCAACTTATTATTGTATTCTATCATTAAATCTTCTAAATTTTTTAACTATAACTCTATCAACTAGTTTACTGTTGCTGTTTGTTTACTTTTCTCTTAGTCTTTTTATTTTATTTTTTTAGGTTTTTTGAACTAGCAATTATATTTGCAATTTTTTTATTTTATTTAAATTATTTTAGTAAAATACAACAATTTAAATTTATTAGTTATAATTTAGATTTTTTAAATTTAATTATTAAAATTTTTAAATATTCAAAAATATTCTATATATATAATTAAATATATATAAATTTAAAAACTTATTTTTATAGCATCATAGTAGCACTAATAATTGATTATAGCAAAGCTAGCACTAGTTATTTTTTTTTTCTAATTCGGCTGTCCTGCCCTTGTTTATTTGGGATCAAGTTATTCAAAATTACAAGTAACAAATTACAAGTGATTTATCTCTAACTACAGTAGATCCAACCAAACGAAAAACTCACCCACATGATTTTATACATCAGGTGCGACCTGCCTCAGTAGCTCTTGGCCTCCCTCAGGGTCCTTAACTCA